GTTTTATTTTAATTCTGGTGCCTGTTAGCAGCTGAAACACATCCTCACGTGCTTGTGGATGTCATATATTGTATATGGAGACCTGACTGTAATAATAAGTAAAGGTTAGCAGCTGTAGCTTCAGTGTGCTCATAGGAAACGTGACAAAAGAACACAAAACACATTTCTCTTTATGGCCTATATAGTTGTCATCATCAACATAACATGATTTACAGAATACATGTGACCAACTATCACTGTTTTTCTCCTTGAATACGCTTTATTGAAAAAGCACATAATACAACTGCAAAGAAATAGCAAGCACAATGTCAGGAGGTTTCTATGGGGAAACAGAACAGTCTAACAAAGAATCACATGATATTGAACAGGGAACATAAGTTTATGGTTTTGACAGCTTTCAAATTCTGAGAATGTTGTATGGTTTGAATTTTATTTGATTAATTTATTGATATTATTAGCTAAATTTCATATACATAAGTCGAAATTTTCTAATGCAAAAGCTTCCTTTCAGCGCTTTTTAAATGAAACCAGACAATATATAAAAACCATGTGACCAACTAATATTTTATGTTCTACCACCGGATGTTTGGATCAAAATATGAACCAATCAGATCTTAGATCAGGTGAGAGCCAGGCGTTTCCCGTCATCCTCTAGGTTTTACAGCCGAGGGAGAGCAACTGCAGCGCCTTGCTCCAAAGTCTGCGGCCGCCTTGATCTCACGAGGTTTTCGTTGCCTTCGTATGCATGACGTCAGAGCAAGTCGGCGTCAAGTCGGACACAAATCTAACCGGGGTGAATGGACCAAGTTGGCGGCGCTGTGAACGGTCTTTTACAGAACTCGCTCCGTCTTAAAATTCCTTTATAAGCAGCAAAACGAGCCCGAAGGTGCAAACTTCTAGCTGTATGTGATGGAAAAAAACCTGAGCTCAAATAAGAGAACTCTTATTACTCCTACTTCCTCCCCGTCGAAACCTTCTGGTAAGAAAAGAGGGATGGAAACTGACACGGCGGAAAGCATTATTAAGACACTCAAGATGGCTATCGAAGAGCAAGGAGCTAACATCAAGAAGAGTATTAGCGACCTGAAGGTTACTATTAACTTTATCTCAGAAGATCTCAGAGAGCTAAAAGGAAAAGTGTCTCGTACTGAAGTAAAAGTGGATAAAGCAGAAGAGAAAATTCAAACGCGGGAAAACAAAGTGCTGGAGTTAACTCGGTATAAACGAAGATGGAACCTGCGACTTCACGGTCTACCTGAAGAAGAAGGAGAAGAATACGCAGTAAGGTTATTGAAATCTGCCAAAACATGGATCCTGGCCACCGAGATAAGTTCCCGGAGGTACTCGATTCAGTCCACAGAATCGGCCGACGACGTGAGTCCTCCTCTGCACCACTGCATCGCGCCATAATCCTGCAGTTTACTATGAGACACTTTCGAGACATCATCTGGAAGGCAGCGAAGCGATCTGACTACCTGAAGACAAGGAAGCTCCATTTCAAAGAAGATCTCTCTCCCGAGGACCGAGAGAGGCGCAACCAACTATGGCCACAGGTGGAGAAAGCACGTAAGGAAGGGATTGTTCTGAAGACTTATAGTATGCTGTTGCTGCTAAACTGTTTTGTGAAGCACTTTTTTAGACAGAGTAGTTCTGCTCTCTCTAAAGCTTACACACTCTTCTCAGGGTAAAAACTTAATTTACTTTTCAAAATTTCATCTTTATCCTTTATTTCTTTTAATGCTCGAGGACTAAGAGACTATACCAAAAGGAAAGCTCTGTTTTTATATGCTAAAAGTTTGAATACTGACTTTTGTTTCTTACGAGAATCTCATTCTGAACCTAAGGACGCTAACTTCTGGAAATCTCAATGGGGTGAAGATTTATGGATGTCTCATGGCACAAACCATTCAGCGGGAACTCTGATCTTAAAACATAAATTTAATGGAAAAATTATATCGTCAGAAACTGATCCAAACGGACATTTTATTTTGCTGGTTGTTTTTTTTAATGATCAGACCCTCTTATTGGGTAACATTTACGGCTATAATAACAAACAGGAGAATATTGACCTAATACTTGTTATAAATGAAAAAATTGAGTCTTTAATAAGTAAATTTGCTAATCTAATGATTATATTAGGAGGAGACTGGAATCATTGACTCAATGACATGATAGATAGATGGCCAAGTAAAAGTCAGGAAAGTAGTAATTACATGTTGGATTTTATAAATGAAAGAGACCTAATTGATATCTGGAGAATCAAAAATCAAACAATTAAGGAATTTTCGTGGAAAAATAGATCTGGCTTCTTACAGTCTCGTATTGATTATTGGCTAATTTCTGATCCTTTATCCGAATATGTTTCTACATCAAAAATGTTGCCAACACCCTTGACAGATCATAAAACAATTTTTCTGGAGATATGTTTGTGTGCTAGAAAATCATCTAAGAGTGAATTCATATTGGAAATTAAATAATTATCTCCTACTGAATGATTCTTTGGTAAAGGAAATTAAAACAAAAATAGATGAGTTTTGGAACAAGGCATGTGTTGAAAATACTTTTTGTAAAAATTGGGAGCTTATGAAATTTGAATTGAGGTCCCTTTTAATGAAACAGGGAGCTGAAACAGTTAGAAATAAAAAAAAGAAGAGTCAGAAATAATTTCTGAAATTATTACCTTGTCTAGATCACCTGATAATTTATCGGAAGATAACCGGAACAAACTTCAAATTCTACAATTAAAATTAGGTAATATATATATATTTACAAGGCAAAAGGTGCCTTTGTGCGGTCAAGAAGGAAATGGCTTGAAGAGGGAGAACAAAACTCTAGCTATTTTTTCAAATTAGAAAAACACCATAATGCTCTTGCCAGCATGACTAAACTTCGTACAGACGGGATCATCACACAAGACCCTCAAGTGATTTCCAAGACTTGTGAACTTTTCTATAAGAATTTATATAAATCTAATCTTTCTACAGAAGCCATGGAAATTTTTTTAACTCCTTAAGTAATATTAAGACAATTAGTGACAACAATAAAACCATGTGTGATTCCCCCATCACAATACTAGACATTGAAGAGGCTATTAATAAAATGAAGCTTAATTAGAGTCCAGGGAATGACGGTTTGACTTCAGAATTTTACAAATTATTTTCAAAGGATCTGTCGTGCTTTTTACATAAAGTATATGTTGAAAGCATTGATAATAACAAGCTGCCTCCTTCTTTGACTCAGGGGCTAATTACTTTGATTCCAAAACCTCAAAAAGACACCCTTTCGATAGAAAATTGGAGACCTATTTCACTGCTGAATAACGATTCTAAAATAATTGCTATGTGTTTGGCTAAAAAGTTAAAATGTGCACTTAATGATATCATTGATGAAACACAGTCTGGTTTCATGACTGGTAAACACATAACTAACAATATAAGACTGGTAATTGATATTTTGGATTATTCAGATTTAATCACGGATAATAGTTTCATTCTTTTTTTGGATTTCTATAAAGCTTTCGACTCCATTGAACATGAATCCATGTTCAGAGCACTTGACATTTTCGGTTTTGGAAATATCTTTAAGGAATCAATTCAAACTCTATATGCAGATGCAAATAGCTCAATCAAACTCCCATTTGGTACAACAAAAAGATTTGATATCAACCGTGGGATCCGGCAAGGCTGTCCACTTTCCGCATATCTCTTCCTTCTTCCTATGCAGTTACTCTCTATTCACTTTAAAAATAGCAGAGTGGTGGGTCTCTCTATCGCTGGCAGAGTACTATCTATTACTCAACTAGCGGATGACACAACACTTTTTTTAAAAGATAAATATCAAGTTGATGATGCCCTCAAAGTTGTCAATAATTTCTCAATAGCCTCTGGTCTTCAACTCAATATTCCAAAATGTGAACTTCTCCCTGTTAAATTCTGCACGGATACTATTATATCAGGTGTCCCTGTTAAAAATAAGGTTAAATTTCTTGGTATTATCATTCAAAAAGACCAAGATGCCAGATTATCTGAAAATTTTGACCCTCTTATAACTGCAATACAACATAAATTTAGTCGTTGGCTTCAAAGAGATTTATCCATTACCGGAAGATCCTTGGTAGCCAAAGTTGAAGGCCTCTCCCGGCTTATTTATGCAGCTATGGCACTTGATGTTTCGAAAGAACTATGCACAACAATTGATAAAATATTATTTAACTTCATTTGGAAAAAGAGAAAACATTATGTTAAAAACAATGTGATGATAAACAAATTGTGTTCTGGCGGTCTAAACTCTTTAGATTTCACCTCCTTAAACACGTCTTTTAAAGTCAAATTAAGTATACTTGTAATTGTATACATAACTTGTTCAACTTGTTATTACAAAATGTGGAATTTTTATACCCTTTCTATATTCTACACTACCATGTATGTTTGTTATTCAAATGTCTAAATTTAAAAAAAAATTTAAAAAACAATTCTAACCGGCATGCACTGCGCGCCGATCACCGGTGATCCAATCTGCGCAGAACTGGCTCATCTCGAACACGGCTGCTGTCTCTCATCAGAAGCGCACTCGAAGCACCGCAGCTAGAGAGGAAGAAGGCAGTGGCTTTTCAAAATAAGGTAAAAATGTAACGTTTCATGATATTTAAATTATTTCAAACTACTATTATGGTTAGCATAAGAACGCAAATACAGGCTATATATGTCACTTCTTACATTGTTGTACAGTAGAGTAACGGGTTGCGATTTGTTGTGGTTGGACTTTTATGTTGAAGGGATGTTCTTGGCCGGCTGTGTGCAGAGTTCCGGTTCGGTTGTTTGGAAGAAAACGAGCTAGTGTGATCGGAGATCGTTAACGGTGTTTCTGCTGGAGTTAAGACGTGGGCTGCGGCCAACAGTAACCCGGAATAAAGATCCGAAACGGAAACAACAAGTTGGAGTCATTAGCATCTCTTAGAAAAGGCAACAAAAGTGTGTTTTATAGGTGTGGTGGCTTTTGTTGAGCTGTGGCGGTGCGACACGAACTAGTTTAGCCCAGCAGAAAGGCCCCGCGGCTGGCTGGACCCAGCTCGACACAGCAGCAGAGCGGTAAGCTTCATATCACTCTAAAATGTCGGCTAACTTTGCTGTACACGTTCATTTACTGCGGTCAAGTGAGCCGCACCTACAATAGAAGTGCGCGTTTATACGGTAGTTTATGGTAACACCGTCTCGCTGCTGGAAGGAGCGACAGAATGGGCTGACGTCAGGATGACGCAGAGCTGCTAAATGTGCCTTTTTGATAAAGGATAGAATTGTGTTTTTAAAACGGACACTAAGCATTCTATACATACATACTAAGTGCCACGAGTACTACCTGGTACCAAAGTATGAACTACTCTTCGGCCGACCCTGAAGAAACCTGGTGCTGATGTCTCTTCCAGAGTAAGATGGCGCTTGCGCACGGTCACGCTGCGAGCTGCTCGTCCTCTTTACGCACTGATACCTTGCTTTTTATTGGATTTTATTGGCGTTTTATTGGCTTTTATGCACTTTTCTTGTCGCTGATCCCTTTTTTGAATGGTGTGGATCCTCTGCTGACATATGATCGAGCTGTGCTGCTGAGGCTTCGTCCTTCCGTTGATGTCGCCGGCAGCACGCGCTGGGAACTGGGCTGCGTGAGCCATGAACCTCACGGACGATGCTGCTGGTTGAACTGCCCGCGTGCTCTCTCCACCCAAGCCGTGATGTGTCGGCCCTCTGTCCGCCCCAGCTCGAGAAGGAAGCATCGGAGAAGACGAGGAAAGAGAGGTAGCCGGCGCGTGAGACGTCGGCCTGGATCCCTGAACAAGCGGCTGGTCCGATCCGGCCCAGCTTCTGACCCGATGGTTCCGAGATGTCTCCTGGATTACTCGGCGCCCTGCCCAGGGAACTCGGCCGGCTCTGAGGGTGAACCGGCACTGCGCCACGGCCGATCGGCTCGAAGATCTCGCCAGACTGGGGTTTGCTGGGAGAATCTGCGCTCAGTTACGGGCACAGAGTTAGAGGGGACTGGGTCCGTGCGCGATCGCGGTGCTGCAGTCCCGCTGCAGACCCGGTTTGGTTTGGTCAATGCCAGGTCTGTGCTGAACAAAACTTTTATTCTTCGTGACTTTTTTATTCAGCATGACGTGGGTTTTCTCTGCATCTGTGAGTCCTGGATCCCGTTTGGTGACACAACTTCCCTACTCGAGCTGGTACCACCTGGCTGCTCGTGTTTTAATACCCCCAGACCACGGGGCAGAGGTGGAGGGCTGGTTGTTGTTTTTAAATCCAGCTTTCCTTGTAAACAGCTTACACCCACCATGTCATTTTCTTCCCTTGAACTGTGCTTATTTGAACTGTGCATCTCCCCCCGCCTGCTTGTCGTGCTGATTTATCAGCCTCCAAAGACTGACTCTAACTTCCTTAATGATGTCTGTGATCTTGTGGCAGACTGCATCCTAAAATATGACTATGTCCTATTTTTTGGAGATTTTAACATCCATATCTGCTGTCCTGACAATGTGCTTGCTAAAGGTTTTTTGAATTTGCTAGATTCATTCAATCTAACTCAATGGGTATCATCCCCAACTCATGCCAGGGGTCACACCCTGGACCTGGTTGTCTCTTATGGTCTACCCGTCACGAACCTTGTGACTTTGCCTCCTGTGTTCTCTGACCACTCTCCTATACTCTGTGATGTTACGTTGCCATGTCCTGTCCCTGTGTGTGAAGCTCCCGCTACTAGGTTCAGAGCCCTGGATGCAGAAACTATTTCAAAGTTTGTGGACTGTATGTCTGTAAGGTTAGAGACCTTTAACCCAGATCCATCTAACGTTGATCACTATTCACAACACTTTGATGTACTTTGTAATCAGGTCTTGGACGTGGTTGCCCCTCTCAAACTGTGCAAGTCTCGGCCTAGGAGGGAGCCATGGCTCTCTGATGTCACACGGGCTTGCAGGCGGGCGTGTAGATCCCCTGAGAGAAAGTGGAAAAAGGATGGCCTACAGGTCTCGCGTGAGTTGTTCAGAGAATCTCTGGTTGCTTATCAGGATGCTGTGAGGGCCGCCAGAATGGCCTATTTTTCAGACACCATTGAGACAAACTCCAATAATCCTAAGATTCTCTACAAAACGCTAAACTCTGTTCTGGTGTATCAGGAGCCTAGCTCCATGTCTCCTACAGCTGCTGGAAACTCTGAAGCTTTTCACAGATTCTTTGTTGATAAAGTATCGGGCATTAGAGCAGCTATTTCTGGTAACTCTGTTGTCCCTGTTCCAGTTCATCCATCACCACCCACCCTGAGCTCCCTCAATACAGTTTCATACTCTGAGCTGAGTAAGCTAGTTGCGAGGCAGAAGCCATCTGGCTCTCCACTTGACGTTCTGCCACCTCGTCTCTGGAAGGCTGCCTTTCCGTGCCTTGGCCCTTCACTTGGTCAGATTATCAATGGGAGCCTCAGCACAGGTGTTGTCCCAGCTGCTTTGAAAGCAGCAGTTATTCGGCCGACCCTGAAGAAACCTGGTGCTGATGTCTCTGTGATAGAAAATTACAGGCCTATCTCTACCCTGCCTTTACATCTAAACTGCTTGAGAAAGTCGTTTATCAGCAGCTGGTCTCACATTTAGCTGACTCTGATCTGTTTGAGGTTTTCCAATCAGGGTTCAGGTCTGGCCATAGCACAGAGTCAGCTCTACTGAGGGTCCTAAATGACATCTATCTGTCACTAGATCAGGGTACATCTGTGCTGCTTCTGTTGTTAGACCTAACAGCAGCCTTCGACACAGTTGACCACGCGATTCTACTCGATCGCTTGGAACGATGGGTTGGGATCAAAGGGTCAGCTCTGGACTGGTTTAGATCGTATCTCCAAAACAGGACATTCTGTGTTAAACTGGGTGATGTTTTTTCTTCTTGGGAGGGGCTCCGCTGGGGGGTCCCGCAGGGGTCGATCCTTGGTCCTCTTTTGTTTGCCATTTATCTGCTACCTCTGGGGTCAATCTTTCGTAAACATGGCCTATCATTCCATCTGTATGCTGACGATTGCCAGATTTACTCTCCATTGTGTCAGGAGAAAGGTCACTCTATTCAGTCCTTTGTCTCCTGTGTTAATGAGGTGAAGTCTTGGCTAATGTCCAACTATCTACATCTGAATGAGGGAAAGACAGAGCTCATTGTTTTTCACCCCAACAGCAGGAATGTGGATCGTTATGCTGATCTTGGCCCTCTTTCTCCATACTCAAAACCAGTTGTTACCAGTTTGGGGGTGAAACTTGATGTAGGACTTAAATTTGACGCTCACATCAATTCTGTGGTCCGGTCCAGTTTCTTTCACCTGAGACGCCTTGCTAAAATCAAGCCTATGCTGTCGAGAGCCCACCTGGAGCGGGTACTGCATGCCTTTGTAATTTCTCGGCTTGACTACTGCAGCTCTCTCTATGCAGGGTTGTGTCAGTCATCACTGCGTCGCCTACAGGTTGTGCAGAACAGCGCTGCCAGGTTCCTGACTGGGACCAGGAAACGGGACCACATCAGTCCGGTTCTGGCCTCTCTGCACTGGCTTCCGATTTGCTATCGCTCACAATTCAAAATCCTCGTCTTTGTTTATCATTTCTTCCAGGGTGGTGGTCCCCCCTATCTAGCCACACTCCTGAAAAGACACTCCCCATCACGCGCTCTGCGCTCCTCTGAACAAGGCCTGCTCGCTGTCCCTCGGTCTAGGTGTCGTACCCGTGGGGACCGGGCTTTCTCAGTCCTAGCACCGTCACTCTGGAACCAGTTGCCACCCTCAGTTAGGCTGTCCCCTTCTCTGCCAGTCTTTAAGAATCACCTAAAAACACACCTCCTCCGCTTGGCGTTTCCAGAACATGTTTGATTATGGCCCTCTATTATGTTGAATCCATTCCACAGTTTTCATTGGTACACTCAATCCATCCACTCAATCCAATTGTGTTTCACACATTTGTATTTTACCGGAATGTTTCATCTATCTTGTAATTTCCATTTTGTATTTTGTAATTTGTATTTTGTAATTTGAATTTCTTTTATTATTGATTTATTCGATATATTTACATACAGCTGTACAATGTTCAGCGCTTTGGGCTTCCTGACAGGGTTGCGGAAGGCGCTTTATAAATAAAGCTTTGATTGATTGATTGATTGATTGATGTCTCTGTGATAGAAAATTACAGGCCTATCTCTACCCTGCCCTTTACATCTAAACTGCTTGAGAAAGTCGTTTATCAGCAGCTGGTCTCACATTTAGCTGACTCTGATCTGTTTGAGGTTTTCCAATCAGGGTTCAGGTCTGGCCATAGCACAGAGTCTGCTCTACTGAGGGTCCTAAATGACATCTATCTATCACTAGATCACGGAACATCTGTGCTGCTTCTGTTATTAGACCTGACAGCAGCCTTCGACACAGTTGACCACGCGATTCTACTCGATCGCTTAGAACGATGGGTTGGGATCAAAGGGTCAGCTGTGGACTGGTTTAGATCGTATCTCCAAAACAGGACATTCTGTGTTAAACTGGGTGATGTTTTTTCTTCTTGGGAGGGGCTCCGGTGGGGGGTCCCGCAGGGGTCGATCCTTGGTCCACTTTTGTTTGCCATTTATCTGCTACCTCTGGGGTCAATCTTTCGTAAACATGGCCTATCATTCCATCTGTATGCTGACGATTGCCAGATTTACTCTCCATTGTGTCAGGAGAAAGGTCACTCTATTCAGTCCTTTGTGTCCTGTGTTAACGAGGTGAAGTCTTGGCTAATGTCCAACTATCTACATCTGAATGAGGGAAAGACAGAGCTCATTATTTTTCACCCCAACAGCAGGAATGTGGATCGTTATGCTGATCTTGGCCCTCTTTCTCCATACTCAAAACCAGTTGTTACCAGTTTGGGGGTGAAACTTGATGCTGGACTTAAATTTGATGCACACATCAATTCTGTGATCCGGTCCAGTTTCTTTCACCTGAGACGCCTTGCTAAAATCAAGCATATGCTGTCGAGAGCCCACCTCACGCGGGTACTGCATGCCTTTGTTATTTCTCGGCTTGACTACTGCAACTCTCTCTATGCAGGGTTGTGTCAGTCAACAATGCGTCACCTACAGGTTGTGCAGAACAGCGCTGCCAGGTTCCTGACTGGGACCAGGAAACGGGACCACATCAGTCCAGTTCTGGCCTCCCTGCACTGGCTTCCGATTTCCTATCGCTCACAATTCAAAATCCTCGTCTTTGTTTATCATTTCTTCCAGGGTGGTGCTCCCCCCATCTGGCCACTGAACAGACATTCCCCATCACGCGCTCTGCGCTCCTCTGACCAAGGCCTGCTCGCTGTCCCTCGGTCTAGGTGTCGTACCCGTGGGGACCGGGCTTTCTCAGTCCTAGCACCGTCACTCTGGAACCAGTTGCCACCCTCAGTTAGGCTGTCCCCTTCTCTGCCAGTCTTTAAGAATCACCTAAAAACACACCTCCTCCGCTTGGCGTTTCCAGAACATGTTTGATTATGGCCCTCTATTATGTTGAATCCATTCCACAGTTTTCATTGGTACACTCAATCCATCCACTCAATCCAATTGTGTTTCACACATTTGTATTTTACCGGAATGTTTCATCTATCTTGTAATTTCCATTTTGTATTTTGTAATTTGTATTTTGTAATTTGAATTTCTTTTATTGTTGATTTATTCAATATATTTACTTAACTGTACCATGTTCAGCGCTTTGGGCTTCCTGACAGGGTTGCGGAAGGCGCTTTATAAATAAAGCTTTGATTGACTGTGTACTTTTTCCGTTATTGTACTTAAAAGTACGTACAAAAAGCTCAGCGTGCCGTGTTTGAGATAGGATAAAACGGTGTTCGGGGAAAAAGGACACTAGGCCACCTATACATGCATACTAATAGGCCTTTTCCACCGACCAAACTGGCATGGAATGGGAAGGATCGGGTCACTAAATATTCTGTTTCGATTGTTTAAACCAGTCCAGGAAACTACCCGAACCGGTCCAGTAGCGGGCCAGAGCGGGACCCCTTCTGTTGTGGGTCCAGAGATTTTTGGTCTGGGCGGAGCCAAAGCGTAAAAGGTCCAGAGTCCTCTGATTGGGGGAGAAATTACGTAACTACCCCAGGGGTGGACATTAACTTTAAAACCAACCGGCCAGCCGGGCCGGTAACTCTGAATATTTACCGGCCCCACCAAGAATCTACCGGCCCCGCTGGTCAGCTGCCAAAACGAGTCAAAATAACAACTGAACCGTTTTAAATGTAATAAACCTTCATTTTGTACACATTCACAAACATAATAACGTATTCAAGTTTGAATTTGTTTGTTCCCTCAACAAAACTCGATTTTGTCATCGCATACTTACGGCATACAACGCAGTACATCACCAACTCCGCTTTGCTGTACTCGAGCCATTGGCTGTGTTCGAGATGAGCCAGTTCTGCGCAGATTAGACCAGCGGTGATCGGCGAGCAGTGCATGCCGGTTAGATTTGTGTCCGAATTGATGCCGACTTGCTCTGACGTCATGCCTACGTAGGCAACGATAACCTCGTGAGATCAAGGCGGCCGCAGATTTTGGAGCAAGGGGCTGCAGTTGCTCTCCCTCAGCTGCAAAACCTAGAGGATGACGGGAAACGCCTGGCTCTCACCTGATCTAAGATCTGATTGGTTCATATTTTGATCCAAACATCCGGTGGTAGAACGTGGAATGTTAGTTGGTCACATGTATTCTGTAAATCATGTTACGTTGATGATGACAACTATATAGGCCACAAAGAGAAATGTGTTTTGTTTTCTTTTGTCACGTTTCCTATGAGCACACTGAAGCTACAGCTGATAACTTTTACTTATTATTACAGTCATGCCTTCATAAACAGTATATGATATCCACAAACACGTGAGGATGTGTTTCAGCTGCTAACAGGCACCAGAATTAAAATTGAAAATTGAACAAGTGTGAACGCTAACGCGATATCTTCATCCATAGTCACCCCCGAGCTACACATGCAGGGAAATCCAAGAGATTCAACTGGCAGAAACAACTGGTTCACACCATAGTCTCTCTCCTCTCCTCTCCTCTCCACACACACACACACACACACACACACACACACACACACACACACACACACACACACACACACGCGTAGAGGAAAAGAGCTGAGGAAATTGAGGACACCAGGTGGTTAAAAGAAAAACCACAGCTGAGCCGAGGCGCGCCTCGAATGGGGCGCGTCTGATCTGAACTGAGGAGCGGCGAGCAGCGGCCGGACTTCGTGAGTGATTCGCTTCTCGGCGCTTCCGCGGCCGGTGTGTCCCCGGCGTTTCGCCGGCTTTCAGCCACTCCCCCTGCTGCTTCCGTCTGCTCTCATATGTTTTCCAGGCGATGCGCTGCTCAACTCGAACACGGCCATTCTCTGCGCCTCCCGTCTTCTTTAAACCGCCACGAATCATTCCACCTACGCACACGCTTCTCTGCTTCATACCGTTTCGAACTGTCTCGCTTCTCCTCACCAGTTTTAAAGCGTTTTGCCAGAGATTTCATCAAGAAATCCCATCCCTGTGGTGGTGCGATCTTCCCGCGTGCTTGTGTGTTTCTAGCGTGGTTCCACTTCGTCTTTAATAGTGAACTTATAGTTCACGTGACTATAACTAATCGTGCAGTACGTGCACGAAATGTACAAGTGCAGTAGGTGGCTAGAGGCGCGCAGGTTCACGTGCGCGAAACGAAAACTGCGGCTTCCTTCAGGGCGGGGCCATGATGTAGGTGAAAGCCGGTGTGTAAATGACAAATAAGGCTTGGGCGCCACCCGGGCGGTAAGTCGTCAAGTATTTACCGCCCGACGAGAAAATTTAGCGCCATTGGCGCTCGGGCGCTTTAACGGTCCACCCCTGTACCCGCGACAATCCCAGGGGATGGAAAAAGAAGTGAGTCGAGTTCCAGTGTTTGTTTGGCTGTACTTCTTGTGTGTGAAAATGCCTGCAAGTAATAGCTTTTGGTCCAATGCGGAGCTTCAAACGTTCCTCACCATCATCGGAGATAGCAACATTCAGGCCGAGCTGGATGGGATGATAAGAAATGAGAAAGTCTTCAAAGAAGTATCTCAGCGCATGGCAGCTGAAGGATTCCAGCGCACCTCCGAGCAGTGTCGTGCTAAGCTGAAAAAAATAAAAGCCCACTACAGAAAAGTTAAGGACAGCAACGGCCGTAGTGGGAATGGGCGAAGTACATGGAAGTGGTACGATGTGGTGGACGCTATTTATGGACACAGACCGTCAAACCGAGGCAGCAAAGGAGGCCTGGACTCAGCGACCAGTATCCTGGAGTCACTCATAAACCCTGTTGGTAAGCATTTCTTTTGTTGTCTTTTTAGCTCTGCAGGCCATTCATTGCAGCACCAAAAACACTGAATAATAGCAGCAGCTATTTAAGAAATGCTCAGCAAGTAAAGGATTTAGCCCCTCATGTTAACTAGCCTTAGCATCCCCTCGTGTTTATGCTAACCTTCATTTAGCATTCCCCCGTGTTTCTTAACACGCTGTTCGCGATATAAGCCTTTCATGTTTAGCATGTCCTTGTTGAGTACATGAGGCTGGAGCGGAGTTTGCCTTTCTTGTTAGCGTCTCATTGTTTAAAACATGGGAAATTCGGTTAGCCTTTCACGTTAGCATCTCAGTGTTGTTAGCATCTCATTGTTTTATACAGCTGAGCACGCACAGTGAGAAGAAGCGAGCTGATCTAATATTATAAATATCCCAAAAGTCGTGCCAGCAGTGTTTTTCGCCTAGAGTGGACTTTTAACAAGTATATATTTTTCGGATGAATAAGAATATAACATTAAATTGCAATTAATCTGTACGTCACTGGCGAATTACTGCCATCTAGTGGACATGTTCCAAATGTCAAAATGGCCTTAAATCATAGCAGTTTTATTAAGTTTACTATATGCCTATATGCTCTTTTGCTGTAAAAATATTGTGCTTTTCTTACCGATTTATTTCGTGACCTTTTCTTACTGACTAATTTTTTGATCTGTGTTTTTCAGACACATCTGAAGCGGAAAACACTCCCTCTTCAGAGGAACCATCCACTTCCTCAAGTAGCACTCCAGGACCTTCTGTGCCACCATCACCTCTGTCCGTACCTTCTGTGCCACCATCGCCTCGGCCAGTTCCATCGCCACCACCATCACCTCTGTCCACTACCACTCGAGAGGAACATCTACCATGTCGTCGACGCACAGGTAGTGTCTGACCATTCTAAAAATTGCTTTGTGCATAAACAAAACTCACAAGTTCACTGGACAACTGACATTTTGATATCCATATAAACACAAATGTAATTGTCAATGTTGTTGTTTCCAGGTGACCGAAGACGGCGATTGGAAGCACGGACACAGGTGATATTTGATGAGTTGCAGATCGCAGATGGCAGGCAGATGGACAGAATGGAAGGCATAAGCCGGGAGCAGGTTAACTGGATGCAACAAGACGCAGCAGCATCAAGACAACATGAATTACAGATCGCAGAGCGATATTTTGAACATTTGGGTGCCCTAAATGCTGTTCTTGGACTGGTCGCACAAAGAATGGGCAGCTCCTCTGACTTCCTGCCACCACCCAGGCAGTAAGGTGCTATGTATTTGTCCCGTAATTTTTTTTATCCGTCTGTCCTTTTTATCAATAAATTTTCAAAGAAAAACAAGGTGTGCATGAATTGTCTTAAAAATTTTTGCTCGCAAATTTACGTTTACATAATAAATGTAGATTACATTACAGCCCACCTTAAATATATGTTAAAATGAAAAGGTGCAACAGTTCGTTAACAGTAAAATAGTGTACTTTATTAAGTTCTGAAAATAAAACAAACATTTCAGTTCAAACTACAGGCTTCGAACAGTTAAAAGTGTCAAAACAATAAACAAAGTAAATGGAAAGAAAAAACACAAACTGAGGTCAGCGGGTGAAGTGTCGCATCAGAGCTTCACGCACATCACTGCCCTCCTCTGCAACTTCCTGCATATTTGCAACCACTGGTTCATCAGCAGGTGCGTCACATTCTGTATATTCCTCCCCATGGCTCTCACAGATATTGTGAAGCACACAACAGGTCAGCACCATGTGTTTAAGAAGCTCTACATCACTGTCGTTTCTCTTCAGAAGACATCGCCACCTACCCTTTAGCCTCCCAAATGCATTTTCGACCACAACTCTGGCTCTGGACGTTTTCCTGTTGTACGCCTGTTGTTCAGCAGTGAGACGACCGTTGTCAGAAAATGGTTTTAGGAGCCAGTTCTGCAGAGGATAGGCAGAGTCCCCGAGCACATAAAAGCCTACATTTACTCCCTCAATGTTCTTGGTACTAGTTGGGTGCAGTTGTCCATGAGCAACCAAGTCCCAAAATGTGGACAATCGCAGCACACGGGCATCATGCAAGCTACCTGGCTGACCTGCATTAACATTCCAGAACATGCCTCTGCCATCCACAATGCCCTGGAGGATTATGGAATGCCAACCTTTCCTATTGAAGTAGTCTGTGTGGAATCCCTGTGGTGCGATTATTGGGATATGGGAACCATTGATGGCACCCACACACTGAGGAACCCCCCACCTGGTCTCAAAATAGTCAGCCATTTCCTGTAGCTTTTGCAGAGTTGGAAAAGCAATAACCTCGGCAAGCAAGAGTTTACAGACAGCCTTACAGAAGTCCTGCACACAGCGGCACACAGAGGTCGTGCTGACACCAAAAAGAAGCCCGATGCTCCTGTATTCACTGTTAGTTGCAAGCTTCCACAGTGCAATTGCAACTCTTTTCCTGAGTGGCACGCAGGCTCTGAAGTTGGTGTTCCTCTTCTGCATGGCTGGACGGAGCTTGGAACAAAGATATGAAAAGGTCTCTTCTGACATTCTGAAATGAGCTATCCAATCTGACGGAGTGAAGTTTGGCATGGTCACATCCCAGAAGGCGCTGGCACGGCTGAAGGCCCACACAGTTGGTTGCCGTCGCTGATTCAAAAGAGCCAACTAAAAAAAAAAAACAGTCATAACACAGTAAAAGTAAAAAGAATAGTGCTGTGAAAAAGATTGAAACAGTATGGTTATAGACATAAAGTTCACATCAATAGAATTTGTTTAAGGTTAAAATAACAGCTGTTCTTTATGGCACTACCAGTGACTGGTTATGTTTTGTTCACTTTATAAAATGCACAAATGTGGTATTGCTTGTAATTACCTATATAATTAATTATAATAATTTCAGTACAGCTGCACAACTTATCTATGACATGCCCAGGAAGTAAAGAGTGAAGGATTCAGGCCCTCCTGTTGACTAGCATCACCATGAGTGCAGAAGCTGTTTGAAACTTAGTTAGGTGTTGGCCTTTCATGTTTAGCATGTCTTAAATGACCAATATACAACCAAACCATTTGATTTTGGTGCTTTTTTTGTTTTGTTTTTTGATAGTTGCCCTAGACACCCCTTCAGAGATTATAACGACATGTATTACAGCATTAGAAGTTACTTACCACCTGGCGCCTCCGTCTTTGTCTCAACAGTAGAAAGTTATGCCTCGTGTCCGATATTAATTTCAGAAAGCGTCGTCGCCTTTCAGCTGCCCTCCTCCTCGATGCGCACAGCATAGCTCTAAACGCTATCGTGATGTGGGTGTAAAGAATATACCAAACACCAAGAACAGAAAGAACGCGCTGGTGACTGGACTCCATTGTTGTTGTGTTTTGGCGCGATCTCGGCGCGCTGTGTGACGTTAAGGCACACATCGCGCGTGACGCATTACGCTACCCCGCCTAGTTACTGGAGCCTGGAATGTGATAGAAACGCTTGCCAGAAAACTTCTAGACCCATACCGGTACATACCGGTCCATAATACCCAGACCTGACCGTCCCAGACCAGGCGATGGAAAAGAGCTATAATGGGCCATTCCCATCTGTACCGGGTCGGCCCGGGCCGGGTAGCGTAGGTTGTTTACATATCTGGGTGGCCTGGTATTTTTCCGGGCTAACCAAGGCTCATTCTCGGCCCTCTTCTCGAGGGGGTCTGCTTCAGGCCGACCAGGGCCAACACACCCACTGCTGACAGCAAATTCACACCTTCCATTAGAGCAAGCCTCTGATTGGTGGGTATGATCAGCCCACATGGGCTTAAGGCAAGGATGTGTGGAATCAACCGGGCCAGGCTGGGGCCGACTGGGGCTACCCGGCCCGGGCCGACCCGGTACAGATGGGAATGGCCCATAAGTACCTCGAGTAGTACCTGGTACCAAAGTATGAACTACTCTTACTGTGTACTTTTTCAGTAATTTTCCTTCAAATTAAATGGAAAAATCCCAAAGCTTTTTCAAAAGTTAAGAAAAATGTAATTTCCAAAAATAGTTTATGCTAATTATTATAAAAACTCCGAAACTTTTCCAGTTTCCAATACTTATGCAGTTTTACAAACCTTTGGCCACGACTGTATTATTTGTTCTTCTACACTGCAATGTATCAACCAAATCATAGCATATCACAGAGTAACAGTTAAAGCAACGGAGAACCAATTACCTCACTATCTACAAACACACACCCAACAGGATTAAAGTCATGCACAATATACATTCCTACTTGCGGCGTTGGAGCCACGCACCATCAACTCCATCTCACATATTCGTCTATATTCTTTTTTTTTTTTTTTTTTTTAAATAAACTCATGCTATTGCTTCAGGTCTTGACTGAGGTTACTCCACACCTGCACACCACAGAGTGGGCTGCACGTTCTCTACATGGTTTTTCAAACAGTCCTGGTTGAGAGTTTGATGCTTCCCTTGGAGTTATAATCCCCCTCTCAATTAATTCAATTCAAAAATACTTTATTAATCCCAGAGGGAATTTGATCCCAAAAGTAAAACGTAAGTAAGATAAAATTTTTATACGAATGACTTGGTAATTGTTTGTTTCTTTCTTTGTACAAGCTGGTCTGTTTGAAGTTCAACCAGATGTGGGAGTTTTAGCAGGCGTTTATAAATAACTCTTTAATGTGATTCTGATAAACTGCCGTATTCTGATGGCTCTTTTCTGAAGTGAAGAGTTGTGTTTTCCCAAACTTCAACGCAAAAGTTGGAATGTGGCCAAAAAGTGACCAATATACAAAATGTAATGCTTGATTATTCAGTACAGATTTTGCTTAACTAAGGATTGAAATACTCCAAAATACTTTAGGTTGAATACAGTATGTTGAAAGCGAGGTTTCCGGCAGATCTTGTGGTCTATCACCCATAAACTAGATTTCATTAAATCTTAAAGTACTTAAACCATCTATCATGACTTTACAATTGTATTTTCCAAATATGATTCCCACACAGTATACCAATTTTTTTTAATCAAACCAGGTTATTAGTTTGTTAAATTGAGTTGACATCGCTCACAAGGTCCTGTAAAGTCTCCCCGTCAAACATTATGTTACTGTCACCTTTGAACCCGTACTGGCTGTTAGATAGAAGTTTGCATTTATGAATAAATGGTCCAGAATTTAGTCAAATAGCATTTATCGTTTTTGAAAAGCTTTTTCTTTGTATCTGAAAGAAATGACTGTTTTAACTTAGTTTGAATTACAATAACAGGTAAAAGGAACAATAAAAGTAAAAATAGTACCACCTGGTACAATTGGTACAGTTGGAATGAGTCTCCAGATGTCGTAGTGTCCTTTTTTCTAAATCTCATTTTATCCTATCTCAAACACGGCACGTTAGCTTTTTGGACGTATTTTGTAGTACAATTACTGAAGAAGTACACAGTAAAAGTAGTTCATACTTTGGTACCAGGTAGTACTCGACGTACTTAGTAGGGCCCGACCAAGCCCCCACAATGCTGCTCTAAAATTGAGCCCAGCCCGGACGTACCAAAAATCGCAGTTCCACCCTCTTCCACTGGGGGCTGGTGTCAGAAGTGAGCAAATCCTCATTGACTGCCATGTTAAAAATACCAATTTCACAGCAGAAATAAACATGTTTACAGCCTGGAACCAAAACATGTTTTTGGTTTAAATGATCTAGTTTACACTCAAAAGCCTAAAATTCTGTATAATTAATGAGCATCAGACCCACGTGACCACAGAGCTAGCTCCGTGGAAAGGCCTCAGTAGAGCCTCGGCCTGGCTTAGGTTTTAACATGTACTGTTTAACCATGACATTTAAATGTAATAGGGTAAAACCCAGTGCATTTAACATAATGCTGCACTTTAGAAAATGGGTTGAAATATAACATGTTGGTGGAGCTGGGTTCCCACTATCGGCTTGTGGAGCTCTCGGGAGACCGATGTTTTCCACCCGGAATGCCAGCTGTTTCTCCTAGCAGCTCGGCGCATCGCTGTCTGATCGCGGCTTCTGTGTGCTGCGGAGGGTTGACAGCTTGTAGAGCTCTGGGATGGAAACCTTTCCACCCCGTTCTTCCCAGCGGCAGCTCTGCGCAGTGGCGCTTGTCTGCTGTGGGGCTGCCGGCTTGTGGAGGTCTCCGAGACCTCTGTGTTCCACCCGGTTTTACCCAGCGGTCAGCCCGGCGTATCTCTGACTCAGAAGCTCTGGTGTTGAGCACAGTTAACTCCGGTTGTAGCTAGGTTGCTACCTCCGTTAGCTTAGCTCCCACCTCCGCGTTAGCTTCAGGTTAGCCTTTAGCTAGTTCGACCGGGTGTCGTCAGTTGATCCCAGCCTTACAGCCCCACCCTCAGCTCCACCTCTCTTCCCTTTTATGGAATTGTCTGGGCTTGACGGAACCTGTGACACGGTCAAAATGGCGGTGGTGGCCGCCTCCCATTTTAGCACAAAAACGTATTATTGGAGCCTATGGAAACCCATTGTCCAAATATTAATGTCGATGGGCCCGACCGATATGCTTTTTTTGGGACCGATACCAATATAAAACTTTTAACAAAGGCCGATAGCCGATATAATGGCCGATAAATCTCCCTCACAAAAAATAAAAATGTTCTTAAGATTAAACCCTTCATTCTCTGCCTTTTTGATGCGAACTTATTTCTCTATTACACACCAAAGAACTGTCTCAATAACTCACTAGGGTTTCCAAGTAATGCAAATAAGATTTATTTAGCAGATCTCAAACAACAGAACACACAAACTCTGTCACATCTAACATTCAAGTTTTTGTTTTCTGAGTCTGTGGACGTTAACTTGGTGAACTTATTCACCCTGGACAGGAAATAATAGCACAAACATAAATCACCGGATGTATCTGTAGTGAAGTAGGCCCACACCCTACTACGACCCTCTTTTTCCATCTGTAACAAAATAATCAGCATAAAAGTACAGTTATATATCTGTTTATACCAAGACAAAGTAAAATACATTAAATGTGGCATTTTTATACGTAAAGTTTAAAAATTCTCATGTAAATAAATGATATCAGGCATTGTAGCTCAAAACCAATGGCTCTGTTGTTGTTTGGTTCCCCAGCTGTTCAGGGTTTCTCATTTAGTATTCAAGTCTTTTTTTTTCCTTCCACTGAATTTTCTACTCCGTTTGTTGTCAGCTTTTTATTTC